GGTGACGGTTAAAGATGGCTCCAGCTCAGCAAAAACGCGATGCATCCTTGCCCGATACGCAAACCCTCCAGTTTCACTCCCTTTCGCCCTAAAATACGCCCGCATTGCGTTCTGATTCATTATAGACGTCCAGCGCAAGCGGCGTATTCCACCAGCGGCGGGTGCCGATTGCTGGATCCGAGAGGATCCTGCCGACACCAAGCCAACTGGTGGGGATGATGGATGCGAGGTACTGCTTGGTGGTCGTGCAGTACCCCGCGCTCGGCTGGCGTCCCGCATGCTGCCACGTCCAGCGCCAGCTCCAGACGCGCCCTGGCGGCCCCCAGGCAGCGGCCCTATGCGCGTTCTTCTATTTTCCATCATCCATTTTAAGTAGGGCGTCGTTTAACGGAAGACGCCCCCAGACCGGCACCGTTTTCGGTAGTGTGGCCGAACGCACAGACGGGCCTATGCACCCTCACTTTTGCCTAGGCACGGTGCAAACACCTGTTGGCAAGGCGCTAACTAATTGCGCCGACGTAACAGTTCTGTCACTTAAACTGTTACGCCGGTGGGCGATGGGGTCGTCACTTCCCTACGCCTACTATTATTATTAAAAAAAGCGTCCGCTTGAGCACATGCCTGACCCTACGGAAGCTCAGAAGGCCGTACCAAGCTCGTGGGTTGTGGTTAGGTACAATTCTGCGTTCGAAGCTTGAAACAGTTAACTGATTGAAAGCGAAAACAACAATTAAAGTCGCACGTTGCATCGCCATCCATGGGCGGGCTTGAGTTGTGCATACAGTGAATTGATCGAAATGTTCTTCTTAATGATCATAATGATCAATTCAAATAGTTTTAACTATCCTTTTGGCAACTCAATGATGATTGGGCAGCTGATTATCAGTTATCTTCTACGATGATCAGTGTTTCAAAAACCGGCCGTTAGCCTCTATGTTTTGTTGACGGCGTGGTAAGTTTGCCTTCTATTTTTATAGGCGCGGCTATCGGCTATTTTTTGATACGGACGACATTTCGCGCGACACAGTGACAACACGGCGAATCAGTCGTTGTGAATGCAAACACTAAACGAGTTGTTTGTGTGAAATAGTGATGGTCGAGGAAATCGATACTAGTTTGATGCAATATTCGCTTTTACTTGCGCCCCAGCGCGACCCACGTGTTTAATTAGGTACACTCAAACAAATTATTTGTAGTTATACTCTGTTGAATTCGTAAAATAGTCCATTCTAACGATGTATCTTATTGAGTTCCGATTGATTGACTGTTGTTGTCTCGATACAAACGATAGTTTTGCTATTAAATATTTCATTTGTCGTTTAAAATGTTAAACAAAAGGTTGAACAAAAGGTGAATGGAAGCTGCAATGCAATTAACATTTTTGCTTCGGCATTCTTCGGGAATTTTTGTGTTATACGACCGAATGTAACATCGCGGTGTATCCACGTGCCTACATCGTAATCTTGGCAATTATAGTTTTTGCGCGACATACGCTTTCGAGCGGTATCCCCTGTAGGGTTACCATTCCCTATGTATAAGTTATGGATAAGTCGCATAAATTATCATCTTTTAATTCTTGTTCTTTTCGATTGTTGTGTTAATCTATGAAGTTGTAAAACGAGGAGATAATTTCGTGATTTTAAGTTGCAGCTTCTTGTTCAGGTGGTAGCCTAAGCTCCACAGACCTCCAAACCCAAAGCGCACCTAAATTTTGCAAGACACGGATAGGGGCAGGGCGAAAATAAAGTGTACGAATTTTCTGTCACGGAAATACCATGGCAGCTAATAACAACTTTTTGACATTAACCTGAAATCATTATTAGTTATTTAATTAAACCGTTATCAATTGCAAATAATTGATTTTTTCGTAAACAAAGAGTTGTGGCACAGGTGATAAATTTTTTCGTTATTTGAATTATAAAAGGTCATCATATCATCGTTATCAATAGCAATATACCACGAGAGGAACGTCGTCCCAACCGAGTGTTCTACGACATTCACGCGTTTCTTTTTTTTATTTGAGAATGTAGTAGTGTGCCGCCCATTGACATTTGCAACATCCGTAGAGTTGCAGATGCGTTGCCACCTTTTAACAAAGTGCGTTTAACATGTCATGCTAATTATCGTGCAAAATTCATTGCTAATACTAGAATCGATATGTCAAACATGTCCTCGACTATCACATAGCGTGGCGACCGTCTAAAGGTGAAGGATGATGCGTAAGAATGCCAAGGGCTCGCTTCACCTGCGCCTTTGATGTTACCTCAACCGCTTCCAAGTTCTATGGCTAATTGCATAGCGCGCGTCGCTTCAGTTTAATTGCCGCGTATGTTCTTGTCATGTTTGCGTTCGTTAATTGAATCGCACGCGAGCTTAAGCCCGTACCGTCTGCGCAAGATGTTTCTCGGCGCAGCCCGCGAGTTTTTCATCGTTTGTGTGCGTCAAATGTCGTCGGGCGTCTGTAGTTGTTGTCACTAGACATACGGCTGTTGTAATTCACCTGTAGACCACCTGCGTTTCCTGGTAAGTCCGCTGCAATGTAGAAAACCATACACGGTTGACATTTCCAGCTAATGTCCCCACGGATGCTAATTAGTGTTATGATGTAAACGAAAACGCCTCGCCAGACATCGCCGTGTTCATACGAATGTGCTTAGTTTTACTTGGTTGTATGTTAGAGAGCAGAATGCGAATAGTTGGGTTATTGATAAAGAGTTGTTGGCATAAACACTCTGAATCGTCTGAAATTCTCCTTTGTGCAACCCTGTTATTTCTCTATTTTATGTTTTGGTAAATATAGTTATAAGCAATTGAGTAACGCTCGTGGAGGTCAATGAACTTTGCCCCTTGCCAGCAACAGTCAAATGATATTTTAAAAAATTATTTATTTGGAGATCGGTTTATACCTTAATAAATTATTTGTATTTCCTTAAATCTAATTTAAAATTCCTTAGTGTAGTAAAATAATCATCGTTATTTGACAATATCAAATAATTTTCTCAATTAGTGATAATGTTATTAATAATTTACTTCCTATTTAAACGTTTAATGTCTTTAATATATGCATAATCGCGACACGTTTTAAAATTTCCCGCATTCGAATTTCGTTTCATTCAGCTCCACGCTTCAACGCGTGTGTGTGAAATTGAGTTGAGACACGATTACACATGTTGTTTATTGGTCAGAAACGGTGTTCTGCGTGTAGGCCCCTGTACACATTGGACCAACGCATTGGGCCAATGTATTGGACCGATTGTAGAGGGCTATTTTGCGAAACGATTGCACAAATCGTAGTTGGCGAGAACTTTGGCCGGCAATCCGAATTGTGTCGGTTTTTTGAGTACACATCAAAGGAGCGCCAATGCACAACGAGGCCCAATGAATCTTTCCGTTTAAAGTGATATGTTTCGTATGTTATATGACATACCTCGAGAAATTTCGAAATTATTTAGCTGTGAGGCGCAATAACCCATCGTCCAATTACGGAGCCTGTATTTAGACCGCTCACCATTTCTAGTAATTTCCACAGGGATTCCTCGAAAATGGAATTGTACCAATCTCGTGTCTATGTAATTTAAGATGATGCCTACAGAAAACGGTAGTGGGGGATCATAGTAAATTATTGCGAAGGCGCTATCATAGTGATAGTACTACACAATTATTTTTAAAATTCATTTGGCGCGTTTTTTCCCACCGTCGTTTTATATCCCACATAACCGATACAGAGGAGCGAATAAAAAGCGACGGTAACGTCCTAAATAATAGGATAATGGCCGTCGAGAGGGTTCCGTCAAAAAGGCCTAGGGCCGCCGCAACCGCGTCAAATTAAATTACACCGATTACATATAAACCGAGGCGTGTGAACATCTTTTTGTTAGACCAGCGCGCCCCTTTTCGGCAATTATGTTCGGCCCCGATGTGGTCTCCTCGAAAATTTAAGGTTGCTTTTCCTGTTTTTTTTAATGGTAAAAGGAGGCACATGAGAAAGCGGGTCACGTGATGGTAGGCCATCACCGCCATCCATGGACATGTAGGAAGGTACTGTTGACTTGGCCAGTAGTGTATAATGATAGTTAAGGCACATTATGTTCAGTATCGCCCTAATATCTCGAGCTAATCCTTTATGTACTCGTATTATTGATAATTATTTTTTATTGTGTACTTTATCTTTTAGTATGTATTGTCTCTTAAAACATTGCCCTTACGATAGGATAACTTCATCCTGTGCTGCTTTTGACAAACATAAACTTCACGTGGACGAACACACAGAACCGAAACAATTATCAGTGCGTTATTGTACAATACATAATAAGGATATAACTAGCCTTAATATTATAGTTTTATGTTGAGGATAGATATAAACCTCCGAATAGCTTAATGATTTGGGATTATTAGAGGCTTTGGTTTCTAAGGCGAGAATTCATGCAAAGGTCACGAAATGTACATTAACAGTTAAATATAACTTTAATAGTTTCGAGGGCGGTTAGTTCTAGATGTAATTTCCGTCACCGAATGACTGTCCATTATGTCGACTCTGATTCAAATTAACCCATGTCCCAGTATCATCTGTTTAGAGAATGACTTCGCCCAGATGTTAGGCTTTTGAATTTGTCTCGCCGTAAAGAGCAAAGGAACGACCGTAATTGCTTTAATTGAATTCGATACTTAAAATGTGTAGAAATTTTGTCGAAAAAAATTTTCGAAGCCGCTAACATTTGAACCTGTTTACCTTTCGCGTACCGCGCCCAGACGTTCTAACCGCTAACCTAAACGTGCTTCGTTTACAGAATTAGGATTCGAACTTGCGGCTACCAGGACAAATTATCTTCTTGTGCAGAGACTAGCGTTAAAATCAGATCATTAATGAATTCGACTAGTTGTGCGTTGTTTTTTAATTGGTTCAGGATCGTGCTTCGTGGCGGTCCGCGGGGAAGGCCTATGGTCAGCAGTGGACTCAAACAGGCTGTAATGATAATGATAACGTTGACAGATTAAAATTAAGTGGTTTTTCTTTTGGCTTGACAAGCATCACGCTGCTTGTCAAGCCGTCTCCTGTCTCTGTCACCTGTCAACGTAACGGCACTCTCGCACACGGCCCTCGCCAATTTGAATTCTTTCACCGAATCGCTTTCCATATTTATTGTTGATCTCGGGCGAAACTCTCGCCGCGCCCCGCGACCGGTAAGGCGATCTGGGTCAGCGGCACGCGCGAACCCGCCGGCACACCACTTTTGCGCAGTGGACGGATGACCCCCCCAGGTTTCGGGTCCTGACGCGGCCGGCGAATCGCTAGTCGCGGCGTCGGACGGACAAAAGGTTACTATGTTTGAAGACTGTCGATATTCTTCGGAAGGCACCAACTGAAAGTTTACTGTGGTAGGGCCACGCAACGGTTTTCACTGTTGCACGAATTGGCTGGTCCGTGCGGGTAATTACCACGACCTGACAAAGTACCTGTTTTTGTAATGTGCGAAGAAATTAATTGAAAGCTAAAAGTTATGACGCCATTGTTCTTACGAACGATCGCGACTTCGTTGGTGCACCTGTATTGTCTAATGTGTGCAGGTGTCCGCCATCGAGTTTGGCGAAGGACAATTATTATTACTAAAATACAGTCTATTCGAAAACGGACCTCTTATCATACTATAGTGTGCAAATTCGTATAGTATCGTATAGTTAAAAAAGCAATTTTCAGCTCGACAAGCATTCGAAAAACAAATATAACGCAACAACGACGGGTAACGTCCAGTGTTGGTGAACGTGTCAGGCAGTGTGTCACGTCGGCTCACAACCGGCTGAGCGGCCGGGCCCTCGCGCGTTTCCGCCGCATTGTCACGCGAGCCGTTTCAGTGATCACGTGTTCGCGTGCCTTATTGTCTGCCTGTCATGTATTTACTGTTTTTTTTAAAGATTTATTTCACGTTGATTTATTTTTGACTGCCAGTATTGTTTATATAAACCTCTATCTAGTTTAAAAATCTCTGTCGTAGTTTAAAAATGAAAAATAATACACGTTTCGTACCCTTCCACAGCTTAGGATTCTGTTTCAGCGTCATGTGCTAAAATTTTATATTCAAGATTCAATTTTTGTGTTTTACACTGAAACGAGGATTACTTGAAGGGTAAACCAATTGATTTTACGATAGTCCAACAAAGAGATTTTACCACAATCAAAATAGATGATTACACCTGACCATGCTCATAAACATCATTATTATTGTCATACGTTCGTAACTTCTCTATAATTTAAATGTCGTAAGTGTTTACGATGGAAGAAATCGAATTAAATCTACATATGTATATGTACAAACATACATACCGGTAAAAATGGTGATGACATGTAACAACCCGAGAATGGTCGGAAAGCTTTTCCTAATACGTCGCGCGACGAGAGATGGTCCAATCGCTTTCATCTAAACCTTTTGTGCTGCGCGCGATGCTGACATCTGCATCTTTACGGTACGGCATCGTTGTTACGCTCATATAAAATCTGGGCGGGTCGGAAACAAAATTGTTACGCAGGCACACAGCGGGCGATTATATATATATATATAGCTCAGAATATATTTTATAGAATATATTTTTACACAGTAATTATTTCTCAAAAAATTTTTAGGTAGATACTTCTGTTAGCCTCGTCACTTAAATGTGGTTAAATGTGGAACAAAAAGAAAAAAATATCTATGTGTATCGCAATTTCAATTTATATTTCAATTTCCTAGCTTAACGCGCTCGGTGGAGCGCGCGCCTTAGCCGCCAACCTGTTTTCTCTCGGACCGACATCGCCGCCCCATCAATCAATCGCAAAATAAAAACACCTGATTTGATCACTCATCATTAAACGTACGGATTCTCGCTTGCGATCGCGTGCTCCTTTTTTTTTGGATTTATATTCGTCCGTTTCGCAAAAAAAAAATACTAAAAAAAAGTCGCCGCACCAAGCGTTTTCAACAATGCGACAGGTGAAAATTTGAAAGTCAATGTCAATCAAAGATCGTCAATGGTTTTATTTCTGGCGGCTAAAGTGGTTGACGTTGAAAAGCTCGCTGTGAAAGGAACTCCAGGATGTGTTCCAGAATGAGCTTGAGATGCGCACAGTACGCAAAGTAAACATTTCAATTTCGTTATACATTAATAAAGGCTTTTGTTAGCGTTTTATTTCAATGTGAGATAGCGGCAAGCGAGCTGGCGGTTCACCTGATGTTAAGTGATAACCGCCGCCCATTGTTTGCAATACTCTACCCGTAGACCACCTTATAATAAAGTAGGCCTCGGCCACCTAACTCAATAGACGAAACGCAGCTTATACTTCACGCGGTCTTCTGTGAGTTCGTGGTGCTTACCCGGACGGACCTGCTCATTCATGCAACAGCGAATAGCGTGGCTACAGTTCATCGATCGTTTTCGTATCCAAAACGCTTCGTAAATCGTAAATCGTTTCGAAGGTTTGCACAATCCAAGGCTGTTGTCGCATCATATAGTCTAACTATCGCCAATCTCCCTGGCCCTGTATTCACTCTCGATCGTTCGAGACCGGCTTATTGTTCAATTTGCCACATAATGGGGCGCCCACACGGCCCCGGCCGCGGGTAATGCGCGTTCAGCTGTTAAAGCTGCGATCCGCGTTAGACCCTCGTGACGGGAGCTTTTTTTATTTTTAATTTAAAAAACATTGCCCTTACTGTAGTATTACATGATTCTTTGTAGTAAGTACGTGTTAAAAACATAAATGATTCGATGACTCCGTGCCGAGGCGTGGCTCCGGCGTCGAGGGTCGTGGGATCGATTCCCACACAATGTTGGCACTGTTTTTAAAAACTAAAGAAAAAAAATCACGGTTACAAACACCCCAATTTACAACAATTATCTGTGGGTGACACAAATAGTTGTCCCACGTGGGAATCGAACCTACGACCGCCGGCGCCGAAACCAATACCGTGGCAAGTGCATCACGAAGTCATCAATTTTCTTCCTTGCTTTAACTCGAGCGCACCGGTGTAATTTTAACATTGGAAGACCAACGTGTCTAAGAGATTAATAGACATTTGTGGAAGAAGGTTATAGACGAACCGGTGGTTCATCTGATTTTAAGTCATTACTCAAGGATATCTTCAATGCTCGTGGGTCTGCACATGCGTTGCCAACCTATCAACGAGTTTTCAGTCATCGTTCTATAGTGTTTACGAGCGTCTTGTTCGCTATTATTTGGATACGGCGAAAGGTTGCACCATATTCCGTCGCGTCGAATTCAAAAGAATTTCCCACCCAATTTGTTTGCTAATCATCAGGTTGATGGGGCGATAACGAAACTAGACGGATAACCAACACCGGCACCAGTCGAAAGTTTTAATTATCACCATCAATCCCACTGAATTAATTCGCCAAGACCAAGTCGTACGTGCTGCGTACGATTAGCTGAGCCTTACGTCGTCGGGGTAGAGGTTAAATTCCTTCGCAGGCGCGTATTGTGTAACGTTGCATGCGATTGCTTTATACGAGCAACGAAAACACGATACGTTACGTCGCGAATGGGCTTTGTTACAGAACTTTCTTCGTCGATGCACTGAGAGTGCTGAATAATTAAAAAGATGGCGATCCTTTTTTTCGTGTCGTCATCAATTATAGTTACGCTGAATAATTAAAAAGATCGGCTTCGTGCTGTCATCAAGGATAGTTAATATTGTTATTGATTATAGATTGTTGCGTGTACCGAAAAAGTAAGTGTTTGTTCTTGATATTTATTAAAGCAGTGCTCAGTGTCTGCATGCGCACATGCGCGGCCCTACAAACAGCGGAGGGCACAAACCCGCGGGTTCTGGCCAGCCCACCGGTTCTGCGTCAGATGAAGCTTTAATAGTCTCGGGACTGAAAGCAAAAACATCAGTTAATACAAGATACAAGAAGTGTCTGGGTGCACGCTTTTAATTAAATGTAATCGAGCAACACGAGTTCAAATTCCGGTGCCAGTACATACCGGTAATTGATATTGTTACTTTTAAGTGTTAACTTATCACATGGGCAGTGATGAAAAAAAACCCGATCCGTAGCGATTCGCATCGTCATTTATAATCCGTACGGCTAAGGAATGGAACAACCTGCCGGCGTCGGTCTTCTCGTCTGACTATAACGTAGGCGTCTTCAAGGCAAGAGTCAATAGGCTTTTACTGAGCTAGCGCAATTACCACCAGAGGCTGCATCGCCACTTACCATCGGGTGGGATGGCAGTCAAGCCTTAGTCAGTTTCATATAAAAAAATACCTGCATATTTTCAAAATTATAACTCAAAATATCTCGAAGACATGCAAAATCCGCCAATCCATAGTGGGATCGCGTAGTGAACTAATCGACTATGCCATAATATCCTCTGTATTGAGAAGGCCTATGCCCAGTAGTGGGACATACATAGGATGTAACTTTACTATTAAAACATGTAAAGGTAGTTTAGAGGTGTTCACATTTTTCCCTCCTATTGTTAGTTACTGAGAAATTGTGATTTTAGCCGCCTATTTATCACGTGATCAGCGGTGAAAGAAAACATTCTGTAAGAATACTGGAAACCTGCAAAGACATTTAAAATAAAGTGTACTTCCGGCGTTATTAATGCTTAGGTATAATAAAATAAGAATAATGTACATTTTACAGAATTTCCTTACTAATTTATTACTTTTATCATAGCCTTTTATCATATAAAAATAAGACTTGGAATTATGTATTGTTTTATTTTACTTACGTATTTCGACGTTTTTCAATTATATTTTCCTAATTGATTGACATCAATAACGACATTTTATTTTAAAAGCCGTTCGCAAAAGACTACATTACGTAACAACCGCCCACTCCCAATTTATTCTAGGAAGTCGTAACGTTACGAGCAACCTTGCAATACCTCACTTAAATACCAATCAAAAACTAATAGTTCAAGATTTTTTGCCGTTGAAGATCAAGGACGCCCTAATATGGGGCCATTTACGGTTGCCTTTTACGTAATCTTTAGGCGAAGATGTTCCATGCCTTAATTCAAGTCTTGTCAAAATGTGTTTGAGCGCTTCGTGCGATTTTTACTTGGGAAAATCTTCGCGCCTTCGTTGTTTAAATGGCGGCAATCCCAACTAACTACCTATATCTTTTTGAAGTATGTTGTTTTGACCGATCACAATTAATTATTTCAAACATAGTTTAAACGGAGTTCATCGAGAATCTGAGCAGGAGCTTGTGGGATGGGCAGTGTCAACTTATAGTTGTATTGATTCTGAAATCCTTCTTCGAGTTAAAAATTACGAAACATTGACAAAAATCTTTCGGTAGAGTTAGAATTAGTAGGTTACAAATTGAGGTCTCAGCATCACACATCAAATTATCTCAAATTCGATACGACATGTTAACCACCGGGCGAGTCAGAAAAAAGTTTTGACGAGTGTTTTTTTCGCTTTTAACGAGTCGGCAAATTGATGAGTAAACATCATAGAAATTCTGCCATGTCAGTACTGGTTCCGCGATACTTTCGCACGAAAAAAATTCGACCCGCCCGAAATTGGCGCATGCTTTTTGCGCTGTTGTTTTTTTTAACTCAAACTGACACAAGCGAAAGGCAACTCTCGCTTTCTAACCTTAAATGTGAGACGCAAGGCGTTTGTTTATCGGTTACGAATTAGAGGTACGTAGGCGGTTCCTTGCTGCGGCCTGCTGTCGTGGCCACGTTGGCCGCCTGTGATTACTGTGGAACACGGAACGGGCAGGTGTTTGCGAACTTGTGGACCGCTTTGCTACGCGGAACCCTCCCGCATTGCGTAAGGTAGGACTCGACCGCATCAAGTTTGTTCATTTTGATGGTCAAATCGTTCGATCCGACGGAATTGTAGAACTTTATTGGGTGCTAGAATTTCAAATTTCGTATGACCGCTCGGTTGGAAGATGATGTTGAATTTCCAATATATTTTGGATAAGGTTAAAGTAACATGTCAAAATTCAAATGGTGTGCCGTTTCGAGTTAATACGCAATCTTTAATTATATGGAGGCGAATTATACTTTTTTTGGGGTGGTTTAGCATGCCGAAGA